AGCTCTTTCAGGACATCAGCTATCTGAATTTAGGTGAAGGAGAAGCGGGGGGGGCATGGGCAAGTTGCAGCGGAGGGTGCAGAGCTGGTGGCGGGGGTAGGGGTAGCCAAGTGGAAAGCATGGCAAGCCGTAGCAAAATGGTTATTGAAATTCTCGATTATTGTAGATTTATCAGTGGTGACAGTGTTTCCTAGCCTCAGTACAGTGGGTAGCTGGGAGGAGGTGCTCTTATTCTCCATGGACTTTACAATGTCCCAAAACGTTTTGGAGTTAGTGCTACAGGATGCACATAGCTGTTTGAAAAAGCTAACCTTTGCTTTCCTAACTGATTATGTATATTGGTTCCTGACTTCCCTGAAAAGTTGGGAATTTAAAACCATCGGACAGAATAATGTGCCATTCTAAGGTGTATTATACATAACATCTAACATTTTCTTATTGCATTCGTTAGCCAAAAAATTAAGTAATTGATAATCTCGCAAGGTCGTGTTTTAAATGTTTATTTATGTCGTTGGGGTTTGAAACAGTCCGAATCATGAGGCAAAAAAGTTCAAAACCACTTTATAAAACAAACTTAGGATATATCTGGGACTCTTTGTTAACGTAGGCATAGGCTATTCATAGGAATGTTATGTGAACACCTGACATACAGTTGGCCAATAATAGATTGGGCTTTTCACAAAACAAAATGTTGGTCAAAACACATAGGCTAGCCTACATCGTATCCAAATATAGCCACAGCATAAAATAAATGAAATGTGAGTCTTTTGCCTACATAAACTTGGTGTTGATGCTGATGATGGGGAGCATGACGAAACAGACAACTAGTAGGATACAAGCTGAGTGGAGCTGCACAGCACAGTGGAGAAAGTGAGGAAGATTGCGCGTCACTTTCGCAAGTCAGGGGTCAGTGATGACAAGCTACAGGGGCAGGCTACGTGGGGGTAGAGTTTGGGAAAGAGCTCAAGATAAAATTGGACTGCAGCACAGGGTGAAACAGTCTGGCAGATATGGTAGATAGTGTGTAGCACACAATGCTGTTTGCAATGCAGGTCCGGCTCGAGGTATTTTACCCACTTTTTCTCCCCAATTTCGATCTTGTCTCATCGCTGCAACTCCCCAACGAGCTCGGGAGGTGAAGGTCGAGTCATGCGTCCTCCGAAATATGACCCGCCAAACCGCTCTTCTTAACACCCGCCCGCTTAACCCGGAAGCCAGGCGCACCAACGTGTCGGAGGAAACACCGTTCAACTGACGACCGAAGTCAACCTGCAGGCGCCCGGCCCGCCACAAGGAGTCACTAGAGCGCGATGAGCCAAGTAAAGCCCCCCCCCCCGGCCAAACCCTCCCCTAACCCAGACGACGCCGGGCCAATTGTGCGCCGCCCTATGGGACTCCCGGTCACGGCCTGTTGTAACACAGCCTTGGATCGAACCTGGGTCTGTAGTGACGCCTCAAGCACTGTGATGCAGTGCCTTAGACCGCTGCGCCACTCAGGAGGCCCCAAGCTGTCCGTTTAAACTACTAGCACACAGCTCGGACACCCAAGCATACCCACAAGACATGCCACCAGAGGTCTCTTCACAATCCCCAAGTCCAGAACAGTCTATGGGAGGCACACAGTACTACATAGAACCATGACTACATGGAACTCTATTCCACATCAGGTAACTGATTCAAGCAGTAGATTCAGATTTAAAAAACAGGTAAAAATACACCTTATGGAACAGTGGGGACTGTGAAGAGACACACAATACATTGTGATATTGTTGTATGGCGGTATTAAACATTTTGTATTGTAGATATGTAGTGATGTAATAATGTTATATGATGTACTGTTTTATCTTTTGTTTTATATGTAATGTAAGTGCCTTATTGTGTTTGGACCCCAGGAAGAGTAGCTGCTGCCTTGGTAACAGCTAATGGGGATCCCTAATAAATACAAATACAAACAGTTTTTGTGACAAAACTATCGGTAAAGTTGAAAATGCAATGGAAACACATTGAACTTTAGATTTTTATTCAGTACATGAAAACTTAAGCAAAAAAAGTACATTGTGTGTGCACTACGTCATCACGCACTGATTTCTATCCGCAACAAGTCCGTTCGGTGGAAACACACCACTGGTGGGAAAATGTGCATATTTTCTTTATGCCTAATTTTTTATATTAGCATGAAAATGTGTCGCCAATTGGATGGAAACCTAGCTACTGACTGAAAAAAATAAACTGATGCACAACCAAATTTCGAAGTTGCACCTTGGGTATTTTACTAGTCTAACTCTCAACATTGTTTTTATTTTTATGTATTTTTGTGGGGGGGGGGGGGGGGGGGTCATGGGGTCAAGGGGGGGGTTCTGCAACATCTTGAAGAACAATCTGGCCTTAATGGCCATATACTCTTATAATCTTCACCCGGCACCGCCAGAAGAGGACTGGCCACCCCTCAGAGCCTGGTTCCTCTCTAGGTTTCTTCCTAGGTTCCTGCTTTTCTAGCGAGTTTTTCCTAGCCACTGTGCTTCTACATCTGCATTGCTTGCTGTTTGGTGTTTTAGGCTGGGTTTCTGTATAGGAAATTGTGACATCTGCTGATGTAAAAAGGGCTTCATAAATAAATGTGATTGATTGACTGATAAGCCTGTGGTCCTCTGTAGCTCAATTGGTAGAGCATGGCGCTTGTAACGCCAGGGTAGTGGGTTCGATCCCCGGGACCACCCATACGTAAAAATGTATGCACACATGACTAAGTCGCTTTGGATAAAAGCGTCTGCTAAATGGCATATTATTATTATATTATTATTATAAGCGACTGCTTATGTCGCTTATGCCTGGAGCCGGCACTGCTGCAATGGTATGTAGGAGAACGTGTCGCTCGTAGCCATTTCTGCTAGAATTTCATCCAGTGCTTGCATTGGCTTAAGGTATGACTGCATCTTGCATTGGCTTGAGCTAAGACTGCACTTACTGAAGCCCCCTCTACTCTCTCTGAACTTGTCTCGCATGTGTTCGGGTGTAGGCCTGCATGTCATATCAATCTATTTGTCGAACCGCCTGTAGGCTACACTTTATTCTCCCCTTTCAGATTTAGCATTCTGCCTCGGTGGCATTCGTTTTAGTGAAGCTCTGCTACACATCTGACATTTTTGGAATGAATCAAAGTAGCTACCTACCGGTAGCTCAAATGTTGTAGCCAATTTTGTTACCGTAGGCCTACTAACTGCATTTCAAGGTTGAGTGTACAGTTTCAGCATAATATGCTATTACAAAAGCACACACTCTCACAGACGCCCACTGAGCGTTGATTGATCATGCAGATAGCAGAGCAGAGAAGCCAGATTTTACATTGCATATTACAGTTCCATTTCACGTCATGCTGTTCATAGAAATCATTTATTATACTGGTTTCTCACAGTTATTTATCCCGGGAAACTGGAGTGGGTTTGGGGTGAGAAATCTCTGTAAATCTCGGTAACCCGGTTCCCGTTCTTTAACTCTAACACACACACACACACACAGAGAGATCGCTCTACATTCTACCAAATATCTGGAGCACACGCACACACAGTACTGACCTATGATCGGTTCTGTGTTGTGAAGGCCCTTCACTCTCAGGTACTTGGACAGGTGGCTGGGGCCGACAACCCTCTTTGCTGTTAGTGACACACCAGACAATCAATCAACACCAAGTATTCACAGAGTGACACATCATTCAGCCTATCAACACCAAGTATTCACAGAGTGACACATCATTCAGCCTATCAACACCAAGTATTCACAGAGTGACACATCATTCAGCCTATCAACACCAAGTTTTCCCCAGAAAAACACATTAGTCAATCAATACATCCATTGTCACAAGAAGCCTTCTCTCACCTGCGGGTGTGTCCGGCAGCAGATACACCTGTGGAACATTGAGCCAGCTTGCTGGGGCCTGCTCGAAGTGTGTGGGTTCACCGTGCTGATGTGTGTGTTCTTGGTCTTCGTCCGGTTCTGTTGGAGTACTGTACAGCATTGTGTCCATGGACGTCACTGAAGAGAGAGGAAAGCTGTTTGAAACAGTCACCACATACGTACACACACACACACACACACACAAACACAAACACAAACACTTACCCTGCCCTGTCACCCAGTGCTCTGTAGTCTGATGTAAGCTCTGAGATGCCAGGTATTCGATCTGTCTGTCTCTCCCTGAGTATTCCGTCTGTCTGTCTCTCTCTGAGTATTCCGTCTGTCTGTCTCTCCCTGAGTATTCTGTCTGTCTGTCTCTCCCTAAGTATTCCGTCTGTCTGCCTTGCTCTGGGTATTCCGCCTGTGTGTCTCGCTCCAAGTATTCCGTCTGTCTGTCTCTCTCCAAGTATTCCGTCTGTCTGTCTCTCCCTAAGTATTCCGTCTGTCTGTCTCTCCCTAAGTATTCCGTCTGTCTGTCTCTCCCTAAGTATTCCATCTGGCTGTCTCTCTCCGAGTATTCTAGATGAGTCTGTCTGTTCCTCTCGGTGTATGCAGTCTGTCGGTCTCTCCCTGAGTATTCAATCTGTCTGTCTCTGTCCGAGTATTCCAGAAGTGTGTGTCTGTCTGGGAGTTCTAGAAGTGTCTGTGTCTCTCTGCATTCTGGGCTCTTCCTCTCCCACCACTCTGGACTCAGAGAAATCTCCCAGTCCTTCAAATGTGTTGAGCTCTTCAGAGCTGAGAGAGGTGCAGGAACAGAGACAGAGGATGAGTGTGTTGTCTTCTCTGTGGACAAAGAGGGAGTGTGGGATGGTATGGAGGAAGAGAGGGAGGGTGAGGTAGATAGCACAACTGTGGAAGGAGAGGTAGAAAAGGGGTTTGAGGGACAGAGGCAGGGAGGAATGGAGGAAGAGAGGGGGAGAGGGATGGAAGTTAGGGATGGCTGATCCTGGAGGAACGAGGAAGGTACTTGTAGGGGTTCCATGTCTTCTCCCAAAAACACTGGGAGAGAGAAGGGTGGAGAGAGAGAGAGCAACGTTATATCATGGCATTCAGATAAAGAACCACACCCCCATGGACAGGTAGAGATATTTCTGTGGCTCACCTGGGATATGGACCAGGAGCCTCTGGGGCGTCTGGCCATTCTCCTCCTCTGATAGGCTGACAGGGAAAGGACACACCCTCTCGGTCTCACCTGACTCTGCCCCACACACACCTAAGGGGATGAAACGATGAGCAGATGCTTTAACTTCAGCTAAGAACAGTTTCAGTAGAACAGTTTCAGCCAAATAACAGTTTCAGCCAAATAACAGTTTCAGCCAAATAACAGTTTCAGCCAAATAACAGTTTCAGCCAAATAACAGTTTCAGTAGAACAGTTTCAGCTAAACAACAGATTCAGCTAAAGAACAGACAGTATAGTTGCCTGGCTAATGCGACAGACTCTGGCTGACACCAGAGTCTGGGAACCCACTTTTATGTTGTCGGCACGATTCGTTGAGAATAAAGGGGCTGTGCTTTTACTGGTTGGTTCTCCTTTGTGTCTCTCATTCAAACACACACACACAGCCCCCTAGTGCTGCCCCCCACAGTTTGAGTACAACAGTTTCAGTTAAAGAACAGTTTCAACAACAGGAATACAACTTTAGGTGATTGACCTCAGTCTCTCCTCTAAGGAGTCACTACGCGTTCTGCTGAAACTTTAGCCTCAGATGGCTTATACTTACCCTGAGCTGGACCTTGGGCTGCATCGGGATTGGACGAGGGAGCTGTCTGTCTCAGATCCTCTGGGTTGTGATTGGTCAAGGGAGCTGTCTGTCTCAGATCGCCTGGCTCTTGTTGCAGTCTGATGATGGCTTGCAGTTTACTGACACCTGTGGATCACAATAACAACCATATATCAACCACAACCATATATCAACCACAGTAATTAAAGGAACGATTAACCCATTTAGAATGTTATTTTGTGCATCTCTGAGCAATGTTCTATTGATTCCTGGGGTCATTTCATGTTTTTATATGTATATGAGCAATTGCCGTTCACGCAGGCAGAAATACAACTCGTCATACCGGCTGTATTTCCACCTGCTTGAACGGCAATAGCTCAGATACACATGAAAACATGTAATGACCCCTCGAACCGATATAACATCGCTCAGAAATGCACAAAAACGATATAACATTCAAAATGGGTGGATTACCTTACCTTTCTCCACAGGAAAGGACAACAGCTCGTTGTACTCATCAGCTTCCACTTCTACCTTCTGTAACACAGAGAAAACATCATCAAATGTGTTTGGTGCTAGTGTGAGTTTGTGTGTGTGTGTCTGTGGGGCCTAAAATAGTTTGAGTTTCATTTACAGGAAATAGGTACATAATGTTATTGTAACAGGATGCAACAGTCAACAGAGTTCATCATGCCATGTGACACAGAGACAACCTGACTGACACAGGAAGCAGGCCCCAACGAACGAAGCACAGGCAACTTCCACCCCGACAATTGGTGGCAATTTCCAGATTTTTTGCGACTAGCCTATCAGCTGCTGACAGCATTAAAACCGCATTGACACATTGCTGAAAATACTGTATCAAATCAGGTAGCAGTAAACAAGAAATGGGTGTGACTCCCATCAGAATGTGAGTATGTAAACCTGTGCCGGAGAGCAGAAAATCAAAAGGATTCTGTGGAACCTCTGCCTCCTCATTGACTCGTCTCACGTAAGTTCCGGATGCACAATTGTAAACTTTCAGTGTGTGTGTATTGACCTTCATGCTCATTCCTGCGTCTCTGTCGACCTTCTCCAGGTGAACGGACATTTTGAACAGCTTCTTCTCCATCTCCGCCGGGCTGGAGGTCCAACCAGGGTACTTCAACCTCTACACACAGCGGAATTTAATGCATGTCAAACATCCCCCAAATAAATTATTATCGATTGACATCCCTGTAATGATGCACACCTTACTAAATAAAAAGATACACACACACACACTTAAAAAACACACGCACCACATAGTTGTGTCGGTGGCTGAGGCTGGTCATGTGATCAGCGATAGGGTGTTTCATCCTGACAGAACATAGCTGACAGTAGTACTGTTTCCTCCTCCTGTGGGACACCTGGACCAGGAAGTTCACACCTACACACACACACACACACACACAGGTCACCTCAAAATGGTAATACAGTCCAAACTTGAGATACTGTCCAAACTGAGAGACTGATGAACCAACCAATGGCAGCCTTGATAACAGGAATACTGACCAACCACAGGGTTGCTCCTCCTCTTCTTCCTCTTCTTTCCTTTAGGGGGCTGGGACAGCTCTGTGGAGTCAACTGGTTCCTCTTTCACAGTGAGAGGAGGTGAGCTGTTCTGGCTCTGCTGGGCAGTCTCTGAAACACACACAAAACCATTCACAGGAGGTGAGTGTGTGTATGTGTGTGTGTGCGCGTTTGTGTGTGTGTGTCTATGTGTGCGTCTAACCTTCAGTATTGGTAGTGGTTGTCTCTCCAGCAGCAGGTTCTCTCTTCACCACCTTCAGAACAGAACAGAACATATGATTGATCAATTAATTGATTGATGAGTTTGCTGTGGGTTGTCCCGTTCCCTCCTTTGTCTCCAGTTCAGTGTATTGATAAGGGCAGTGACCAGACCGATATTGATTTTGAAGGGTTTTAACCATATACAGTGAGGGAAAAAAGTATTTGATCCCCTGCTGATTTTGTACGTTTGCCCACTGACAAAGACATGATCAGTCTATAATTTTAATGGTAGGTTTATTTGAACAGTGAGAGACAGAGTAACGACAAAAAAATCCAGAAAAACACGTCAAAAATGTTATAAATTGATTTGCATTTTAAATGAGGGAAAGAAGTATTTGACCCCTCTGCAAAACATGACTTAGTACTTGGTGGCAAAACCCTTGTTGGCAATCACAGAGGTCAGACGTTTCTTGTAGTTGGCCACCAGGTTTGCACACATCTCAGGAGGGATTTTGTCCCACTCCTATTTGCAGATCTTCTCCAAGTCATTAAGGTTTCGAGCCTGATGTTTGGCAACTTGAACCTTCAGCTCCCTCCACCGATTTTCTATGGGATTAAGGTCCGGAGACTGACTAGGCCACTCCAGGACCTTAATGTTCTTCTTCTTGAGCCACTCTTTTGTTGCCTTGGCCGTGTGTTTTGGGTCATTGTCATGCCATCCACAACCCATTTTCAATGCCCTGGCTGAGGGAAGGAGGTTCTCACCCAAGAATTGACGGTACATGGCCCCATCCATTGTCCTTTTGATGCGGTGAAGTTGTCCTGTCCCCTTAGCAGAAAATCACCCCCAAAGCATAATGTTTCCACCTCCATGTTTGACGGTGGGGATGGTGTTCTTGGGGTCATAGGCAGCATTCCTCCTCCTCCAAACACGGCGAGTTGAGTTGATGCCAAAGAGCTCGATTTTGGTCTCATCTGACCACAACACTTTCACCCAGTTCTCCTCTGAATCATTCAGATGTTCATTGGCAAACTTCAGACGGCCCTGTATATGTGCTTTCTTGAGCAGGGGGACCTTGCGGGCGCTGCAGGATTTCAGTCCTTCACGGCGTAGTGTGTTACCAATTGTTTTCTTGGTGACTATGGTCCCAGCTGCCTTGAGATCATTGACAAGATCCTCCCATGTAGTTCAGGGATGATTCCTCACCGTTCTCATGATCATTGCAACTCCACGAGGTGAGATCTTGCATGGAGCCCCAGGCCGAGGGAAATTGACAGTTCTTTTGTGTTTCTTCCATTTGCGAATAATCACACCAGCTGTTGTCACCTTCTCACCAAGCTGCTTGGCGATGGTCTTGTAGCCCATTCCAGCCTTGTGTAGGTCTACAATCTTGTCCCTGACATCCTTGGAGAGCTCTTTGGTCTTGGCCATGGTGGAGAGTTTGGAATCTGATTGATTGATTGCTTCTGTGGACAGGTGTCTTTTATACAGGTAACAAACTGAGATTAGGAGCACTCCCTTTAAGAGTGTGCTCCTAATCTCAGCTAGTTACCTGTATAAAAAGACACCTGGGAGCCAGAAATCTTTCTGATTGAGAAGGGGTCAAATACTTATTTCCCTCATTAAAATGCAAATCAACTTATAACATTTTTGACATGTGTTTTTCTGGATTTTTTTGTTGTTATTCTGTCTCTAACTGTTCAAATAAACCTACCATTAAAATTATAGACTGATCATTTCTTTGTCAGTGGGCAAACGTACAAAATCAGCAGGGGATCAAATACTTTTTTCCCTCACTGTAGTCTGTTAAAGGAGCAATCTGCAGTTGCTACATACATCCATTTTTGGACTGATAAATTAATGATATTGATTCTTGAAGAATATAACTTATAAATGCCTCATGAACAACTGTTGTACCCCATCAGAACCCAAACTTGAAGTTTTACTCACATTTTTGTAAGCAAAATAAATTTAAACAAACATGATTAAAACCATAATTTTGATATCATGGATGGTCAGTCCTTGTATCCATAGCACTGTCTATGAATTTGAGAGTGGTTACATTTCTCAAGCCCCATCCCTCAGCTTTTTACCAAAACAGTGGTGGGGTGGCCTGCTTTGTTATTGTTTCAACTACGGATTGGCCCTTTAACCAAATAGTCTGTTTTAACTATATACAGTGGGGAGAACAAGTATTTGATACACTGCCAATTTTGCAGGTTTTCCTACTTACAAAGCATGTAGTGGTCTGTAATTTTTATCATAGGTACACTTCAACTGTGAGAGACTGAATCTAAAACAAAAATCCAGAAAATCACATTGTATGATTTTTAAGTAATTAATTTGCATTTTATTGCATGACATAAGTATTTGATCACCTACCAACCAGTAAGAATTCCGGCTCTCACAGACCTGTTAGTTTTTCTTTAAGAAGCCCTCCTGTTCTCCACTCATTACCTGTATTAACTGCACCTGTTTGAACTCGTTACCTGTATAAAAGACACCTGTCCACACACTCAATCAAACAGACTCCAACCTCTCCACAATGGCCAAGACCAGAGAGCTGTGTAAGGACATCAGGGATAAAATTGTAGACCTGCACAAGGCTGGGATGGGCTACAGGACAATAGGCAAGCAGCTTGGTGAGAAGGCAACAACTGTTGGCGCAATTATTAGAAAATGGAAGAAGTTCAAGATGACGGTCAATCACCCTCGGTCTGGGGCTCCATGCAAGATCTCACCTCGTGGGGCATCAATGATCATGAGGAAGGTGAGGGATCAGCCCAGAACTACACGGCAGGACCTGGTCAATGACCTGAAGAGAGCTGGGACCACAGTCTCAAAGAAAACCATTAGTAACACACTACGCCGTCATGGATTAAAATCCTGCAGCGCACGCAAGGTCCCCCTGCTCAAGCCAGCGCATGTCCAGGCCCGTCTGAAGTTTGCCAATGACCATCTGGATGATCCAGAGGAGGAATGGGAGAAGGTCATGTGGTCTCATGAGACAAAAATATAGCTTTTTGGTCTAAACTCCACTCGCCATGTTTGGGGGAAGAAGAAGGATGAGTACAACCCCAAGAACACCATCCCAACCGTGAAGCATGGAGGTGGAAACATCATTCTTTGGGGATGCTTTTCTGCAAAGGGGACAGGACAACTGCACCGTATTGAGGGGTGGATGGATGGGGCCATGTATCGCGAGATCTTGGCCAACAACCTCCTTCCCTTAGTAAGAGCATTGAAGATGGGTCGTGGCTGGGTCTTCCAGCATGACAACAACCCCAAACACACAGCCAGGGCAACTAAGGAGTGGCTCCGTAAGAAGCATCTCAAGGTCCTGGAGTGGCCTAGCCAGTCTCCAGACCTGAACCCAATAGAAAATCTTTGGAGGGAGCTGAAAGTCCGTATTGCCCAGCGACAGCCCCGAAACCTGAAGGATCTGGAGAATGTCTGTATGGAGGAGTGGGCCAAAATCCCTGCTGCAGTGTGTGCAAACCTGGTCAAGACCTACAGGAAACATATGTTCTCTGTAATTGCAAACACAGGTTTCTGTACCAAATATTAAGTTCTGCTTTTCTGATGTATCAAATACTTATGTCATGCAATAAAATGCAAATTAATTACTTAAAAATCATACAATGTGATTTTCTGGATTTTTGTTTTAGATTCCGTCTCTCACAGTTGAAGTGTACCTATGATAAAAATTACAGACCTCTACATGCTTTGTAAGTAGGAAAACCTGCAAAATCGGCAGTGTATCAAATACTTGTTCTCCCCACTGTATTATGTTAACCACATAGTCTGTTTTAACCACAGTCTGTTTTAACCATATAGTCTGTTTTAACCATAATGTAGTCTACGCACCAGAAGTACCTTTATATCCTTGTGGGTTACCCAGTATGTTAGGCCCTTTGCAATGTAACTACAAGGCTTTGTGAGCCTGTTAGACCACCATACGATACAGCCCAGGTTGTTATCTGGGGGAACGTCAAAGTTAGAATGACTGACCCCCCCGCCCCCCAATACGGCAAGAAACATCTGGTATGGATTTACATTTGGTTGGTCCATCGTGATTTATGATTGTTTATGCATAGATTCCACAGGATGCAGGGAGGCAGAGACTCTCCTATATATACTGCTGTAAGACTTGGGTTTGTTGACGTGTATTGTTTGTATGCTTCCCGGCCTTATCAAAATCTATAATTTTATTCAAGTGTTTGTCGTTCTCAATATCTTAAAAACCGTCAAGACTCAGAACTCTACAATTAGATGACTATAGGTTATTGTTTATTGTGGGTTGTCCCGTTCCCTTCGGTGTTTCCAGTTCAGTGTATTTATAAGGGCAGTGATCAGACAGATATTGATTAGATGATTATAGGTTAGTAATTACCGTGGGCTGTCCCGGTCCCTCCTGTGCCTCCAGTTCTGCAGCTCTCACTCTCAGCTCCTCATGAAGAGGCCCCGCCTTCACCGTCAGCTCTGGGCTCAATGGCCAATCAGCAGCCAGCTCAGGGTATACTAGTTTCTATGACAATGCATTCCGGTGGGAAAAGACATATCAATTACTGAGTTCAGTATGTATGGAGTTCGAATATGTAAACATAAATCAGACCTGGGTCAAAAATCCGCTCCAGTCTTTGAAAAGTACACTACATGACCAAAAGTATGTGGACACTTGCTGGTTGAACATCTCATTCCAAAATCATGGGCATTATTATGGAGTTGGTCCCCCCTTTGCTGCTGTAACAGCCTCTACTCTTCTGGGAAGGCTTTCCACTAGATGTTGGAACATTGCTGCGGGGACTTGCTTCCATTCAGCCACAATAGCATTAGTGAGGTCGGGCACTGATGTTGGGCGATAAGGCCTGGCTCGCAGTCGGCGTTCCAATTCATCCCAAATGTTTTCGATGGGGTTGAGGTCAGGGCTCTGTGCAGGCCAGTCAAGTTCTTCCACACCGATCTCGACAAACTATTTCTGTATGGACCTCGCGTTGTGCACGGGGGGCATTATCATGCTTAAACAGGAAAGGGCCTTCCCCAAACTTTTGCGACAAAGTTGGAAGCACAGAATCGTCGGTAGTGAGTGTTGCAACCGAGGACAGACGATTTTTACATGCTACGCACTTCAGCACTCACCTGTCCCGTTCTGTGAGCTTGTGTGGCCTACCACTTCGCGGATGAGCCATTGTTGCTCCTAGACGTTTACACTTCACAATAACAGCACTTACAGTTGTTGACCGGGGCAGCTCTAGCAGGGCAGAAATTTGACGAACTGACTTGCTGGAAAGGTGGCATCCTATGACGGTGCCACGTTGAAAGTCACTTAGGTCTTCAGTAAGGCCAATCTACTGCCAATGATTGTCTATGGAGATTGCATGGCTGTGTGCTCGATTTTATACACCTGTCAGCAACGGGTGTAGCTGAAATAGCCGAATCCATACATTTGAAGGGTTGTCCACATACCTTTGTATATATAGTGTATTTGACTCAGGTCTGGGCACAATGTAGTTATGGTGTTTGAGTGTGTGTACAGTGGGGGAAAAAAGCCTGTAATTTTCATCATAGGTACACGTCAACTATGACAGACAAAATGAGGGAAAAAAATCCAGAAAATCACATTGTAGGATTTCTAATGAATTTATTTGCAAATCATGGTGGAAAATAAGTATTTGGTCAATAACAAAAGTTTCTCAATACGGTACTTTGTTATATACCCTTTGTTGGCAATGACACAGGTCAAACGTTTTCTGTAAGTCTTCACAAGGTTTTCACACACTGTTGCTGGTATTTTGGCCCATTCCTCCATGCAGATCTCCTCTAGAGCAGTGATGTTTTGGGACTTTCGCTGGGCAACACGGACTTTCAACTCCCTCCAAAGATTTTCTATGGGGTTGAGATCTGGAGACTGGCTAGGCCACTCCAGGACCTTGAAATGCTTCTTACAAAGCCACTCCTTCGTTGCCCGGGCGGTGTGTTTGGGATCATTCTCATGCTGAAAGACCCAGCCACGTTTCATCTTCAATGCACTTGCTGATGGAAGGTGGTTTTCACTCAAAATCTCACGATACATGGCCCCATTCATTCTTTCCTTTACACGGATCAGTCGTCCTGGTCCCTTTGCAGAAAAACAGCCCCAAAGCATGATGTTTCCACCCCCATGCTTCACAGTAGGTATGGTGTTCTTTGGATGCAACTCAGCATTCTTTGTCCTCCAAACACGACGAGTTGAGTTTTTACCAAAAAGTTCTATTTTGGTTTCATCTGACCATATGACATTCCCCAATCCTCTTCTGGATCATCCAAATGCACTCTAGCAAACTTCAGACGGGCCTGGACATGTACTGGCTTAAGCAAGGGGACACGTCTTGCACTGCAGGATTTGAGTCCCTGGCGGCGTAGTGTGTTACTGATGGTAGGCTTTGTTACTTTGGTCCCAGCTCTCTGCAGGTCATTCACTAGGTCCCCCCGTGTGGTTCTGGGATTTTTGCTCACCGTTCTTGTGATCATTTTGACCCCACGGGGTGAGATCTTGCGTGGAGCCCCAGATCGAGGGAGATTATCAGTGGTCTTGTATGTCTTCCATTTCCTAATAATTGCTCCCACAGTTGATTTCTTCAAACCAAGCTGCTTACCTATTGCAGATTCAGTCTTCCCAGCCTGGTGCAGGTCTACAATTTTGTTTCTGGTGTCCTTTGACAGCTCTTTGGTCTTGGCCATAGTGGAGTTTGGAGTGTGACTGTTTGAGGTTGTGGACAGGTGTCTTTTATACTGATAACAAGTTCAAACAGGTGCCATTAATACAGGTAACGAGTGGAGGACAGAGGAGCCTCTTAAAGAAGAAGTTACAGGTCTGTGAGAGCCAGAAATCTTGCTTGTTTGTAGGTGACCAAATACTTATTTTCCACCATAATTTGCAAATAAATTCATTAAAAATCCTACAATGTGATTTTCAGGACTTTTTTTTCTCATTTTGTCTGTCATAGTTGACGTGTACCTATGATGAAAATTACAGGCCTCTCTCATCTTTTTAAGTGGGAGAACTTGCACAATTGGTGGCTGACTAAATACTTTTTTCCCCCCACTGTATGTAGTGTGTGTATGTAGTGTGTGTGTGTGTGTGTGTGCGCGTGTATGTACTGTGTGTGTGTGTGCCTGTGTGTATGTAGTGTGTAACCCACTATGTAGTGGTAGCGGTGTCGGGCAGAGATTAGGTGTCCAATGAGGGACGACGTAAACATCCTGTGAGAACAGCAGCGGCAGAGGAAGGAGTCACCATGTCTGTCTGGCAACTCTGTCAACATACTGACACCTGGAGGAGAGGGGGAGAAAGAGAGGAGGGAGGACGAGAAAGGAGGGAGGCAAAGAGATGAGAAACACAGGTACTAATTTCTCATCAACAGTTTAGTCATTTAGCAGACGCTCTTATCCAGAGCGACTTCCAATTAGTGAGTGCATACATTTTTCATACTGGCCCCCGTGGGAAACGAACCCACAACCCTTGCGTTGCAGGCGCCATGCTCTACCAACTGAGCTACAGGAGGGCCATGAACTATGAAGTGCACATTAAACAATAATACACACACACTTACCGATGACAGGCTGTGTGCGGGTGGAGGCATTCAGGTAGGACCACAGAGCTGTAGAGGTCATGGTGGGGTCGCTGACCTCTGACACCTGGGGTGAGGGGTCAGGGCTGACCTGGGATGAGAGATCAGGGGGTTCAGGGCTGACCAACGGTCGGGGGTCAGGTGAAGGGTCTCCATTTATGACCTTCATTACAATGTTCAGGCCTGGAGAGACGAACCAACACACAGTTGAAGAGATTAAATTATTCACAGACAGTAATTATAGGCAAGTAGTTCTAAAAAGTACCGGTAGCATTATTATTGACTCACCAAAGGTAAAGGATATTGTTGCCACAAAATTGTATGTGCGCGCATCCAACTCCACTACCTACACACACACACACACACACAGACACAGACAGGTAAGCTCCAACACACGCATGCACACACATTAGTGATGCACGGGTTGACTCATAACCCGCAGTCCCCGCGGTTATATCCAAGGGGCGGACGGGTTTAGGGTCATTAAATATTGTGTGGATAAAGGGCGAGTGGGGGGCAGGCGGGTTGAATAAACAGAAAACATATACCTTAAAAAATCCATAAAAGTATAATTTACATTTTTGTCATTTAGCAGACGCTCTTATCCAGAGCAACTTACAGGAACAATTAGGGTTAAGTGCCTTGCTCAAGGGCACATTGACAGATTTTTCACCTAGTCAGCTCGTGGTTCAAACCAGCAACCTTTCAGTTACTGGACCAACGCTCTTAACTGCTAGGATACCTGAGTGTGTGTGTGTATCATTGTTTAATGCGGACTTCATAGTTACCTTTTGATGAGAAATTAGTGTGTGTTTCTCATTTTACATTTTAGTCATTTAGCAGACACTCTTATCCAGAGTGACTTACAGGAGCAATTAGGGTTAAGTGCCTTGCTCAAGGGCATCGACATATTTTTCACCTAGTCGGCGCGGGGATTAGAACCAGCGACCTTTCGGTTACTGGCACAACGCTCTTAACCACTAAGCTACCTGCCGCCTTTCTCATCTCTCTCTTTGCCTCAGTGCATAAGCCTAAGCTTTAGGGCCTAACTGTAAACACAGCAGGCAATCGCCAAATGCTTTTGGGAACGGGCAAAAAAAGTTTACATCAAATCATGGAGGCAAAATGGACAATGTTAGAGTTTAATTCAATAAGAGAAAAGCTGTGAAAGGAGAGTTGTAAATAAAGAGAAGGGAGGGCCAGAAAAGTTGTTTGAGGAAGATTTGGTGAAGTTGCAAAAGAGGATGATAGCAGTGCCGGATACATTATGTGTGATAATTGTGAGGCTCTATACAAATTCGACAGTTACAAGACAGGGACTTCAAATAGGCTATGGCATGTCAAGGGAACTGTAGCCTACTGTTCAGATAGGTTAAATGGAAACAGAAATCTGGACACTGACTGTAGGTCTGTAACCTCTCACATAGCCTTAACATTAAAATGATACACCAAATATAGGCTACATTTTGACTCAGGAACAGGAGTGGAGAAATATGATTCAAGTCCGGGCTCTGGCTGGGCCACTCAAGGACATTCAGAGACTTGTCCCCAAGCCACTCCTGCGTTGTCTTGGCTGTGTGCTTAGGGTCGTTGTCCTGTTGGAAGGTGAACCTTCGCCCCAGTCTGAGGTCCTGAGCGCTCTGGAACAGGTTTTCATCAAGGATCTCTCTGTACTTTGCTCTGTTAATCTTTCCCTCGATCCTGACTAGTCTCCCAGTCCCTACCGCTGAAAAACATCCTCACAGCATGATGCTGCCACCACCATGCTTCACTGTAGGGATGGTATTGGCCAGGTGATTAGCGGTGCCTGGTTTCCTCCAGACGTGACGCTTGGCATTCAGGCCAAAGAGTTTAATCAGACCAGAGAACATTGTTTCTCATGGTCAGAGTCCTTTAGGTGCCTTTTGGCAAACTCCAAGCAGGCTGTCATGTGCCTTTTACTGAGGAGTGGCTTCCATCTGGCCACTCTACCATGAATGCCTGATTGGTGGAGTGCTGCAGAGATGGTTATCCTTCTGGAAGTTTCTCCCATCGCCACAGAGGAACTCTGGAGCTCTGTCAGAGTGACCATTGGGTTCTAGGTCACCTCCCTGATTAAGGCATTTCTCCCCCGATTGCTCAGTTTGGCCGTGCGGCCAGCTCTAGGAAGAGTCTTGCTGGTTCCAAACTTCTTCCATTTAAGAATGATGGAGGCCACTGTCTTCTTGGGGACCTTCAATGCTGCAGACATTTTGTGGTACCCTTCCCCAGATTTTTGCCTCGACACAATCCTGTCTCGGAGCTCTATAAACAATTCCTTCGACCTCATGGCTTTGTTTTTGCTCTGAAATGCACTGTCAACTGTTGGACCTTATATATACACAGATGTTTGCCTTTCCAAATCATGTCCAATCAATTGAATTTACCAATCAAGTTGTAGAAACATCTTAAGGATGATCAATGGAAACAGGATGCACCGGAGCTCACTTTCGAGTCTCATAGCAAAGGGTCTGAATACTTATGTAAATACATTAATTTTTTATTCATTTTTATATATACAGTTGAAGTCGGAAGTTTACATACACTTAGGTTGGAGTCATTAAAACTTGTTTTTCAACCACTCCACAAATATCTTGTTAACAAACTATAGTTTTGGCAAGTCGGTTAGGACATCTACTTTTTGCATGACACAAGTAATTTTTCCAACAATTGTTTACAGACAGATTATTTCACTGTATCACAATTCCAGTGGGTCAGAAGTTTACATACACCAAGTTGACTGTGCCTTTAAACAGCTTGGAAAATTCCAGAAAATGATATCATGGCTTTAGAAGCTTCTGATAGGCTAATTGACATCATTTGAGTCAATTGGAGGTGTACCCGTGGATGTATATCAAGGCCTATCTTCAAACTCAGTGCCTCTTTGCTTGACATCATGGGAAAATCAAAAGAAATCAGCCAAGACCTCAGAAAAATTATTGTAGACCTCCACAAGTCTGGTTCATCCTTGGGAGCAATTTCCAAATGCCTGAAGGCACCACGTTCATCTGTACAAACAATAGTATGCAAGTATAAACACCATGGGACTACGCAGCCGTCATACCGCTCAGGAAGGAGACGCATTCTGTCTCCTAGAGATGAACGTACTTTGGTGCGAAAAGTGCAAATCAATCCCAGAACAACAGCAAAGGACCTTACAAAAGTATCTATATCTATATCCACAGTCCTATATCGACATAACCTGAAATGCCGCTCAGCAAGGAAGGAGCCACTGCTCCAAAACCGCCATAAAAAAGCCAGACTACGGTTTGCAACTGCACATGGGGACAAAGATCGTACTTTTTGGAGAAATGTCCTCTGGTCTGATGAAACAAAAATAGAACTGTTTGGCCATAATGGCCATCGTTATGTTTGGAGGAAAAAGGGTGATGCTTGCAAGCCGAAAAACACCATCCCAACCGTGAAGCACGGGGGTGGCAGCATCATGCTGTGGGGGATGCTTTGCTGCAGGAGGGACTGGTGCAAATTTATGTGGATATATTGAAGCAACATCTCAAGACATCAGTCAGGAAGTTAAAGCTTGGTTGCAAATGGGTCTTCCAAATGGACAATGACCCCAAGCATACTTCCAATGTTGTGGCAAAATGGCTTAAGGACAACAAAGTCAAGGTATTGGAGTGGCCGTCACAAAGGCCTGACCTCAATCCTATAGAACATTTGTGGGCAGAACTGAAAAAGCGTGTGCGAGCAAGGAGGCCTACACACCTGACTCAGTTACACCAGCTCTGTCAGGAGGAATGGGCCAAAATTCACCCAATTTATTGTGGGAAGCTTTTGGAAGGCTACCCGAAACGTTTGACCCAAGTTAAACAATTTAAAGGCAATGCTACCAAATACTAATTGAGTGTATGTAAATTTCTGACCCACTGGGAATGTGATGAAATAAATAAAAGCTGAAATAAATAATTCTCTCTACTATTATTCTGACATTTCACATTCTTAAAATAAAGTGGTGATCCTAACTGACCTAAGACAGTGAATTTTTACTAGGATTAAATGTCAGGAATTGTGAAAAACTGAGTTTAAATGTATTTGGCTAAGGTGTATGTAAACTTCCGACTTCAACTGTACATTTGCAAACATTTCTAAAAACCTGTTTTCGCTTTGTCATTATGGGGTATTGTGTGTGTAGAATGATGAGGATTTTTAAAATCCATTTTAGAATAAGGCTATAACATAACAAAATGTGGAAAGTGAATGGGTCTGATTACCTTCTGTATGCACTGTATATTCCGTAATTCCCCCCACCCCCAAACACACACACACACACACACACACACCTCAGCCTCTCCATTTCCCATGGTCTTCTCCAGCTTCAAGGCAGCTCTCCTCAACTTCTTATGGAGCTGGTTCCCTTTGGGGACAATCACTGTCTTCAGCGAGCTCTGTCAATGGACACACAGGCACAAACACGTTACTCAACCAGGCTACATGCCCACACAACACACACATTACACAGGCAGACCACACACACACACACTCTAATGATGACACTCATGCACATTAACATACGTCCATATATTGTGTACAAGAAAGAGGATTTCGACACCCACCATCTCAGATTGTTCTAAAATTGTTTCTGTAGTTAGAAACTGATAAGATTAGCATTCCAGCGACATCTTTTTGTTGAAATATAATGAGATCTATGATAAATTATACTAATTGATCAGACCCAAATTGCCTATTTAAATTGATAGGATTCATATAATATTTAATAAATATAGTTTAAATATAATATAGTAAAGCCACCCACGGACCACCCCACACCAATCCCACCCCAACAACCAGTATACTGTATTGTTCTCCATGTCTGACAAGTAGTACAGAGCTGCGACTCGCAGTATTGTTTATTCATACTATATTATGTATTCCCAGTGAATTTGGTCATTGTTTTTTTCCCCTGTTCAGAGAAGTTTGTCATTTTAGTTATTAGGTTTATGTCCCATCATACATCCAGATATAACCAGATTCTGACCACTAGATGGTGCTGTCTATGGAAAAGTTATGACAGCAATCCATGCGTTGGTTTTGTTTACCTGCCCATTGTTTCAAACGCCAACTTTTTAGCATTTGTGGCAGAAATCAATCGTACCTCAATGTCAGTCAATGGTACCTATATTAGCATTTTCA